TTTAACAACACTCAGACGTTCAAAAATGTCTCTTGTCTTACAATTTGAATTAATATTAAAAATCGGCTCAATTATATGTGGTTACAGAGGGCGCCAGAAAAATATACCACGGGTGCCGTGTTGGACAGGGCTGGTCTACATGCTACAATATAAACATGAGAAAATCTGTAACTTCTTGGTTCACATAATGCTAAAGTCATTGAGAATGTTCAATTATTCTTTGTTGTCTTTGTGTGTACACAGTAACCACCATTTCAGACAATTTAGGAAATGTAGGCATAGCATAATAGTTACCTTGTGTTTGCTCTGTTGTCACCTGCAGAGAACATGCAGTCCATTTTGTTTAATTATAAAAATTTTAAAATGTGGCATGAAATTCGCTTAGAGAGGTCGTAAGTAATTAATGGTTGCAAAGCAGGCTTGGAATGTACTGTGTGACAGAGTAGGCAGAACACTTCTCAGAAGGCAGAATCAGTCCTTTGCTGCTTGTGTACATATATTTTTTTCTGTTCATTGCTGGTAAGTAAAAGCAGAGTAAGCAGAAATGTCAGATTGAACTTGTACTTACACTTTGCATTCTGAGTATGTAACATTATTTTGCATCTTCTAATACAGGGGTCTCCAAACTTTTCGAACCGTGGGCCACGTTAGGTAATTCAGCACTTTCAAAGGGCCGGATAAAATGAGAAATTAATAACTCTAGGTATATGAGTTTTATTGAAAGCACAGAATTTCATAAACTAAATACAAAGTATGTGAGAATAAATTATCATATATTAATGACAACAGACAGTAGCAGCAAATGCTCATATTTTCATCACAAATTATAATAAAACAATTAATGCGAATGATGGAACTCTTTTTGCATTCTTAAAATCTGATTAAATTGAGGTTCAAATTTTGAAACGCTAATCACAAGTAGTGACTTTAAATGTTCTTCAGATAAATTTGCCCTGTATTTCGACTTGATGTACTTCATCTGGGAAAAAGTTTGTTCACACAGATATGTCGTCCCAAAAATGGAGATAAATTTACAAGCAAATTTCTTTAAATTTGGAAATTGCTCAGAGTTCAGAAATTTATAAAATTTGATCAAATTTCCTTCCTTGTATTTGTCTTTAATATGATAATTTTCCTGAAGTTCAGTAATTTCCATTTTAATTTGACTTGGGACATCTGCAGCATCACAGTCAAACGGATTTTGAAACAATCTGATTTCCTGAGCACTGGCATCGAAATCAGCAAATCGCTTCCGAAATTGTTCTTTCAAATCTGAAATGACTAAATTTGCAAATGAGGAAGGAAATTCTGCTTCACCCTTTTTATGCAAATCTGCACAGTGTAGCATATGAACAAAGTTACAGTTTTTCACTTGGCTTTCCAGAAGTATCAACTTTGCTCTGAATGGCTTGATAAGTGCAAATAAATCACAGACTAAATTATTTTCACCCTGCAACTTTAAATTCAAATGGTTCATATGGTTCACCATATCAGCAAAAAATGCTAATTTCCAAAGCCTCTCGGTATCTGATAAAAGTGGTTCGTGATGGTTTTTCTCGGTAAGAAATATATCAATTTCATTCCTTAGCTGAACGAAGCGTGAAAGAACCTTTCCACAGCTAAGCCATCGAACTGCAGTATAATATGTCAGGTCAGTAAGCTCGGAATCACATTTACCAGTACTCACTGGAAAATTAGTTCAATTGGCGCATTTCTGCACAATTCTTTCACGGGCCGGATGTGGCCCGCGTGCCGTAGTTTGGATACCCTTGTTCTAATACAACACTGTAGCCTCCCCTTTAGTGATCCGTTCCTTGGTTTGAATCCAAGTTGAATCCAGCTAGTTTAGAATATTGACTAGCATCATGTGCAAATTTTCATATGTACTGTCTTTCATTGAAAACAGTTTTTGTTGCAATAAATATTTAGCAAGCGGTGTGTGAGATGTATAAGGAAATGCAATTGGCCTTCATGTAAAGCGTCAGTTATCTTTGTCTGACTTTAACCAAAATTCAAGCATATGACATTCTAGTAGAACTTCCAGTATCAGACTTCATGAAAATCTGAGCAATAGTAGTTCTTGAGTTGTTAGATGCAAACAAGTGGATTAAAGGACATGGTGAAGCTGATACACATTATAAGAACTTGTTGTAAACACACCAAGGAAAAAAAAATATTGCCGTAGTTGCATTGCTTTTTTAAAACTTCAAGCTGTGTAGTGGGGCATGCAGTAGCATAGTTGGTTGAGGCACTATGCTACAAGCCGGAAGGTCGCGGGTTCAAGTCCCAATGAGGTCAATGGATTTTTTTTCAATTGACCTAATCCTTCCAACTGCACTATAGCCCTGGGGAAGACTCAGCCTCTTAACAGAAATGAGTACTGGGAATATTCTTTGGGGTAACAGGCGGCCAGCATATAGGGCTGACAACCTTGCCGCCATCTATGAGCCGATTGTCTAGAAAATGTGGGAACCTCAACATCTCACAACCCTATGGGCCTCCACGGTCTGTTACAGGGATAGCTTTATTTTTTACTTACATACATTCTGTATAGTAATGGTGTGTATAAATAGAAGTGAGGCATTAAGATTGTATATATATATATATATATATATATATATATATATTTCAACCATTTTTGGATGCCATGAACATTTTACGGGTTCACTAAATTTTTATTATATTGAGGTTGTAATGTATTTTCTGCTCAGTAACTACCATGGTGTAAATCGAATCTTTAGTGTGATGTTACTGTAAGGCAGTAAATTTGTGCTGTAGCATTTCTTTTATATTCATGCACATTGTTTTAGTGTACATAATACTTCATTTGAAAAAAACAAAAATATTCCCTGGTTTGTATGTAGTTCTGGTCTCAATCAAATACACAGCTACCATCTCCTTTGGGTAAAGGGAACCATGTTATTAAATGCAACTTTTCTCATATTAGCTTAAACAATGTATGGTGATAATCAAAGGATCATTTGTGTTAAAGACTGGTAGAATGAAGCAGGATTGTATCTTACTGCCATTTTTTGTGCTATATATATATATAGACAATATCCACATACTTGTATATGACATTTTAAGAATGCAAGAGGTTGTGTACATTTAAGCAAGATATGAGATGAAAAGAAATGGAAAGAAATTGGTTAGACTATTTACTAACCTTGATTGATACTATCAAAAAAGCGTGTACTTGCAGCAAATAAATGTCTCCATGGCCTTAGGAAACACCTGAAATCCCAATTAATACCCAGGAAAACCAAAACTATGATGTATAAAGTACTTATAAGATCAGTGCTATCTTATGCCTCTGAGACCTGGCCACTGTCAAAATCAGATGAAAGACTGTTAAGTATATTTGAAAGGATGATCCTGAGATATATCTTTGGACCAGTGGAAGAAAATGGAATATGGAGGAAGAGGTATAACCATGAGCTATACAAACTATTTAATGAACCAGACATTATTGGATTTATAAAGGTGAAAAGGCTTGAATGGGCTGGACACATAATACGTGCCAGCGAGAATAGAACCATAAGAAAATGCTTAATACTAAACCAGAAGGAAATAGGAGAGTGGGAAGACCAAGGTTAAGATGGGAAGAATATGTGTGGCAGGACATAAGAATTTTGGGTGTAAAGAACTGGAGGAATGTAGCATCGAATAGAGAAGAATGGCGAGCAATCCTGAGGAAGGCCAGGGCTCACAAAGGGAGCCATATATGTTGAGTAGCATAGTTAGGTAATACTTTCTTTCCTTTTAATTTTATTTTGAAATTTATCATATTAAATGACACTGATGTCATCATGTGTATTCTGCTTAATATGTTGATTACTGATTTGTGTGATTATATTTTCAGGTCAGGTCCACATGGCTGGAAAGTCATTATTGGAGTTGAAAGATCTACTTAGATATCGGAAGAAGGAGCGAGGGAGTGTAACTCATATTGCCAATCGTTTGGGCCAGTCCAATCTCATCACACCAGAATGGCTAATCCTTACTGCCAAAGATATGATGCCCAAACCAGAGCATGTGTCATTTCCAAAACCACCAAAAGCTCCAGGTATATCTGTCCAATAAATTAACTTACAAATTCTATAATGTTTACATATTATATAATAGTTAATCAAATCATCTGCTGGTTGTAAATCAGAGCTCACAGTACTTCAGTGCCTGGATTTATTTTACTTTTTTAATTCTCTTAAAACAGAACATTGTTCATACGTGTGTTAAATATACGTGGGGATGCATTTCAGCCCACCACTCCTTTCATAATTACATTATTGTGAAAATTGTCAAATCAGCTAAATTTTTAGATTTATAATTTGATGAAAATATTCTGCAAGTGTTTGCGGAAGATTTGAATTACACAGTACCATTTTTTTTCTGCCCATAAAATGGGCATGACCTATCCACACGTGCATGTATATTTGTGCTTACATGTCAGTGCACATTTTTGAAAATTATGATAAAGCATATGAGGAACCTGCATTGATATACTCGTACTACTGATTTGTATATTTTAATTTCTTCGTTCACATTTTATATAAGGTGATATCTGCCTGAAAGGGAATTTGTAAATACAAGTATATGTACTCATATATAGAGAGCAAATGACAGTAAAGGATCCAGCTTTTGTATCAGCACTTTTGTTTGATAAATATTGGCTGCCATGTGGATGTTCACACAGGGAGAAGTACACCCTGTAACAGGCATTTTATAAGGGAGAAGTACACCCTGTAACAGGCATTTTATAATATTCCATCCACATTTTAAAATGTTTGTGAAAATATCAATATTTTATGAACTTAACATATGCCCATATATTCAGACATGTATCTTACAGTGTTCAAAATACATTTTATAGTAAGTAATTTATCTTGTGAAGAAGTTTAAATCTTCTGTGATTTCTACAATAATGTCCACTGTTTTGATTCTAAGGCCCATATATGTTCATATTAGTATTATTTGTTTTAAAGAAGTTGACACTGTGCAGTCCATATAGTTGAGGAAGTCTTGTTAAGTAAACACACATAATCTTGTGCTGCAAAATCTCACACATTCTCATATATGTGTGCGGAATGTGATGGCTACTGCCCTATAGGGATTGGATTACTCATTCATAGAGTAGCCTGTATACATTTTGTTGAATTCCGCAATATATTATACTGGAAGTAAGTGGACCTCTTTGTTCCTTTAGTTGTTCAAACTCGGAATTCGAAATAGTCACATTCTTACTGAGTTACACACTCCAAAGATACAGCACACATAAAATGCTAGCCATTGCTTGGTAGTGGCTTCCACTGGTGGATGTTCCCCTTTCTCTGGGTTCCAAAACTGTCCATGGCCTCAGCTACTGGCTACTCACTTCTCACAACTGTAGCTCTCAACTGACTCAACTCGAATGGAACTACTAGCCCTCATTACATAGCCCTGACACAGACTGCACAGAAAACGTCTTTTCCATTGTTGCCATGTGCTCTCATTGCTGAGGAAACATGCCTGCAGAGCTGTTCCCTAGCAATGGCTATTGTACTGCTGCTTGGCAGTGGGTCTACATGCCACAATATTGTTCACACAGCACTTGAGTAGCTTCTGTTTGTGTGCTGCAGATGGTGCCAGTTTTCCTCAGCAATGAGTCAAGTTTCATCCCCTCTAGAGTGTCTTTTTTTCTGTGCATGGCCACCCATGCGACAACTGATATTTCCAATGCTACGGGGCTAGTTAGAAGGTTGTAGCCCTTGTAATAAGCCTCTGTGTGACCCAAGGATTGGATCCATAAAGAGTATGGTCTATTTTCAGATGGCACATTGTTATATGAGCGTGTGCCAAACAAACCTGAAGCAGAGAAGGCAGCAATGAACAATATATCACCTTCACTACTTAAACGAAGAGCATATGAAGAAGTAAATGGTATGGATGGTAAGGATCTAAACTAGATATAGTTTGAAATTGATGAGTAATTTTTGTCCTACATTGACTTTTATTAAATAAAAGTATAGTAGTCGCCTAAATCGAATTCATTGTTAATGAGCAGTCACTTGAGGCATGTCAGTACAACATTGATGTTTTTACTACAAGTCCATCCCCTAACATGAGTTAATGTAACACAGAATGTGTGGCTATGGCACTGTTTTCTTCCATTTTGATTTGGCTCTCATGGGCATGTGAGAGTAACAAGGAATGATTCAGCATTCTCATTGTCATCATCTGAAACAACCAAAGAATTAAACATTTTCTTAAATGCACATAACCTTATGTACTGACAACAAACTGCTAATTATGAGCCATCCTTTTAAGAGTAAAATATTGTGACCAGTACCAGCTGAAACACAGTAGATATTTGATGCGACAGAACCTTGAACATGCTCCTGCATAGGTATATTCTGTGACATCATCCCATGTGGGCCAGGGCAGCTCAAGGAAGTGGAACCCTGAGACAAGGGGGGGGGGGTACTGCAAAGTGCATAAGACATCACATGATATACATATTTTGGTAATTAAATCTTGAAGGGTATAATCTGCTTTCAGATTTTGGAATGAAAACTTCCCAAGACAGGGATGGGGTAGAGAGGGTTGGTTGGCAGGATCCTTAACATGCTGCTACCCATAAATATTATTAAGACAGACCTGCACGTGTAGTTGATGTGCATGAAACTTCAAAGGAAAGCAGCACATTAGGAATCATTCCATTATGATGAATGTGCTAGAAAAGATCTTCTTTTTACGTAGTGGCTTTCCATATATACAGCATTAAAAATTGTCAAATGCAGTGCATTTTGTAGCTGTAATGATATTGTCATTATAAGCCATACCCATTCTGCTGTAATTTTACTGTTTGTACCAGAATATTTTAATAGGTGTAGCTTCTGAGATACAGATGTTGTCAGTAATGATTCCATTACTATTTAAAACCTTCCCAGTTAAAATCAGGCTGACAGTGCCTTATTATGGGGAATTCAAATCCTGAATTTTCGCATAGTAAAGGTTAATTGTTGGTAATTGTTAATACAGAACTAAACCTGTGCACTGTATGGGTTTGTGGAACTTCCATAATTAATTTGATATCACTGACTTCCTAGGCATATGCAAGAATAATTTCTTTCAGTTCCCAATGAGAATTTGGAAAATTTGCAAGAATTGAGACAAGAATAGAAAAAGTTTTTGTGGTAGTCTAATTTTTTCACTGTAATAATTTGTGATACTAGATGTTACTCACGGCACACTAAAGTTAGTGGCTTATTTACTCAGATGAAAGATTGATCTGAATGCACAGTGGAAATGTCTGTACAGAAAAAGTAATTTTGTGAAAGGGGAGTTCCATTGACACAACACGTGTAACCATAATAATTGTTTTGACCCTAGAGGCCATCGTCAGGCAGTTAGTACATTTGTTTGTCTACTTTCTGCTACATCTATACGTTGGTCAGTGTTTATTTAGCGATCCTTTCAAATTGTTTTGCTTGGATTAGATGAGGGTCATGTAAAATGGAATACATGGTAGGTTAAGGTATGTAATATCAGTGTAACTGCAGAAAAAATGTAAATATATGAGTAATGAAAGATGAAAGGTAAGTATTGGGCACGCGAAGTAATTTAAATTTTAAAATATAAAGGTTATAGTGGTTAAAATTATCAAATGTTGCGGGTATGTGTAGTATTAATTATGTGTATACGTATATGTGTACTCAATTGTTACATGCATTTTGTCAGAGTTCCCAACAGTGTAAACATAACATGATGCTCCACTGCAGCACTTTGCTTTTATGCGATTATTTCATAATCCTGCTACCAGGATGTGAAAGAAAATAACTATGAGAATACATGTTATAGATGAAATCTTTTGAGTTAATTCTCTTCTTGAAGTCACTAGGCTTTATTCAGCTTCACTGATCTCTGTTCACTATTCCTCGAATCTCTCTCAGCTTCGTTGTCTTCACAGTTTCCATCTTTGGTCTGAGGTTCACTGCTCACACACTCATGGTCACTACCAACGTTCTCCACTTTTCCATCATCCTCCTTTCCATCCATTTCATGAGATACACAGCACTTCTGGAGATATCTGTTGACATTGTGTTGATCTACTGGCACAGTGGTACAAGCTCCCCTGCCAACAACCATTTGGAATACAGTTGCTTCAAATTGTCCTCAAAAGGCTTATTAATTACAGTGTCTAGCTGTCAGGTCAGCCCTCCAGTTATGCCAGCAAGATCAGTATTCATTTTATAAACAGCAGATCTGGCATGCAGTGTTAAATGAACTCTAATGACTCCAGTGCAAGCATTTCTCATTTTTTTGCTCAATGTTTCTGTTTGAGCTTCTCCTCCAGACAACTTGTAACCTGTCCCTCATCACTTCTTTCCATAGCCATCCCTTTGTTTGACACCTGATTTTTAGTTCTGAATGCAGCAGAAATTTAAGCATGCCTTTTTGTTTCAGTATTAGATATGGTGCTAGGAGCCAGAATAGCATAGTTGGTATAGTGACTGGCTACGGGCTGGATGACTGGTGGGTTGCAGTTTTGAGTACCAGTAAGGGCAAGAATTTTCGCTTCTCCAGGTCATCCAGACTGGCTGTGGGGTCTGCCCCGTTTCCTATACAATGTTTACTGAGGAGTTCTTTCCCGGGGGTAAAGCGGCCAGGGTGTGAAGCTGACTACTCATTTCCAACTAGTGCTGAGGTCAAGAGAATGTGGATCTATACATCCACTCCCCCATACTTCTTCATGGCATAGTGCTTAACCTTTAAGAGCCTAGCGACGCCGTATGGAGACCTTTAAAGTGTCACCGAGTGGCTGTGCGACACCGTATGGGTATGCACAGTCCACGCATACGCACAGTGTTTTCAAATCTAATTTTAAGATAGAAATTCTTTTTCATTATTTTTGGGCACCCGCTTTATAAGTAGACATTCTTCCCTCCAGCGTCATCTAACTGAATGCAGAGTCCGACGTTGCAATTCATGCACTTTTTCCTGATGTAACTCTGTTTCCCACGCGAAGAGCACACACAACACCTCAGTCTCGTATTAGAGGAAGTCGGCCAGTTATGTTGAGGGGCCTCGTCTAATTTTAATGCTTATAAAACATTGCAATTTCAACTATCCACCATGGCCTCATTTCGCATGGAAGAAGCCGAAATTGAGAGGCAACTGATAAATGACACTGATTCAGACTGTGCTACAGACGACTCTGAAAGTGGCGAGGAAGCAAGGGCCTAGGCTTGAACATTCTGGCAATGCTTGGCTATTCTGAGAACAGTACCTCTGTGTGCCTAGTCCGAGATATACACTGTCAGAGTTTCTGAAGGACAAAGTACGGTAAGACTTTGACCACACTCGTGCATTCAGAAAGGTTCCAACATGACTGGAGAATGTGCAATACAAAAATAAACTTCCTCCCCTTTTGCCAGATAAGACATAGTAAGACAGAATGTCAGCATTATGCATTTATACTGCAGAAACTGTATGCACATTTGTGGACAGACACTCGAAATAGGGAAATTTTTTTTTTTAATCTGTAACATATTTTACAGATTTTAAAATCTGTAAATTACAATATCTGATTCTATATTCTTTCTAGATAAAAGAAGCATATATTTCGTTCGTTTATCACAAAAATTGTAGAAATCACAGCATTTTCAGTAACATGCTTACAATTTTTAATGCTCTACGCTGGCGGGCATTTAAATTAACTCCAGCCTGCTGCCATTACCAGAATTTAAATGGCCCAGCTGATAAAGGTTAATTAGCTAAACACAGGGTCAACTTTATTTTACTTTAACTTACCTTCCCTTATTAGATATGGTGGTTGTTACCTGTTGTGTGCAATCTCTGTCACCATTACAGTTGTTCAGATCTTCTCATTGTCTGATTTTATGACAGCAGATTTTGCACCTTTATTGACAGTGGTGTAATTGGATGGCATAATGAAGTACACTGGCATTTCATTGGCATTGCCTCAAAATGTAAATGGAAACATCTTGCAAAATTCAGATTTATTGTGAAGAAAACCAGTTCTCCTGCGTCATTTCATTTGTACACACCACCCTCTCATTCAGTAATGTTGATATATGATCCATTCAAACAACAGTTTTCACGTAGAACTGGGATAGCACAGTTGGTATGGCAACTGGGTACTGGCTGGTTGACCGAGAGGCCGGAGTTCATGTCCATTAGGGTCAAGAATTTTCACTTCTCCATGTCCAGACCAGCTCTGGGGTCCACCCAACCTCCTATACAGAGGGTACCACCAAGCCCTTTCCTGGGGTTGAATTGGCCAGGGCATAAAGTTGACCACTCACCTCCAACTAGTGCTGAGGTCAAGAGAATGCAGGTCTATGAAGCCACTCCCCTTTACGTCTTCATTGTGTGTGCTTAATTAGTAAAGTACAGGGACAGCACTACCTTACTGGCATAAATTGTGGGTTTTATTGTTTCCACCTTTGATGTTGCCTCAAAAGACACTGTATTTTCTTGCTTCTTCACAGTTGTTTGCCCTTCATATTTAATTGCAGTGGTCTTGAAGTATGAACCATATCTGCAGCATCTGGAACTATCTGACATGTTATTCCCTTTCATACTAATACTTCTTTTCTTGGTATCTGCTATTTTATGTTGTAAGCCAGTGGCATGCTGTGCATGGAAGCAAGGGAAGCATTGCTTCCATAGTTAAGAAACAAAAAGAAAAGTCATATATAAATAATTCAATTTGAATAATAAGGATTTGAATATTGTCATTTAGCGCGTGTTCCTGCTCAAGGCCACATGCCTCTTCCTCCTGCTCACTTAACCTGCTTGGTGGGATGGATCAAGTTTCCTTTGTTAAACTTCGTAATAATTCGTCTCACACAAAGTGGGCAAGGAAGTGACTGTCGGTTTGCTGGCTGATGCCTGTGATATGGAAGCGAAGGACTGTTCTTTCG